AAAGAAATTGCCTTGACTATTTTAATATTGTTTTGACTGGCCTATTGAACTGTTGAGCTGCAACCTGTTTCTTGTTTGTACTTTGACATGATGTGTGTTGTGGAGTACAAAGAATATATACAGACTAAGCTGACCTCTGCAGATATTTATAGAGAACTTACTCTTTTTTTATTTTTTTATCCTTTTAGCTTATTTCATTATTTCTTTTTCTTTGAAATGAGATGCAAGTGGGTGAAGCTAAGCCACAATTGCCTCTGTTTTTTTTTTTTTTGAGAATACAAAAACAAATTAAAAAATGCAAAAGAATGCATTAAGCATGATTCAAAGAAAACAACCCAAAATCAGATGCATTCTAGCCCTTTAATTATATATACACACACACACATATATATATATATATATATATATATATATATGGGTAAACCTAGAGGGACACTATAGTGACCAGAACCATTATTGTAGCTTAATGTAGTGGTTCTGGTGTCTATATTCTGTCCCTGTAGCCTTTTCAATGTAAATGCTGCCTTTTCAGAGAAAACGTAGTGTTTACATTCCTGCCTAGTAACACCACTAGTGGCAGTCACCCACTAGAGGTTCTTCCTATCAGAGTCTGTACGCAGCTCCCCATACAGATGCAACTGGTTTAAGAGGAGATGCTAATTGGTACAGTGTTTTGCTGCACGTGTGCAATAGCCTTTTATTGTCTGAGATCAAGATTGATGATAGTCATGGAGGCTGGGTCAGCCACAGCAAGACTGGCGTGACGACAAAGCAAAGGTAAGTAAGCTACCTTTTACCTACAATTTGAGGGAGTCTGACCACTTGAACAGCCACTCTAGCACTAGCGTTAGTATGTTCCTTTAATGTCTCCCCCCTCCCTCTTTGTTTATCCTATATACATTTAGTAACAATAACGTCCCGTAGCGTGATGTGCAATTACAAAATGTTGTATAGAGGAGTAACAAAACATCCATATAGCTGGCTCAATAAATAACCTATGGCTGGCTCAACATAAAGCGCTGGATAGGAGGACAAGTTCTTACAAGGCACCCTAAGCACCTTAATTACAAAAGCTTATTGTATGATGCAAAAAGTAATTGGCACTCTTCTGCCCCGGTTTGTATCAAACGGTGTGAGCACCACTATACTTTGAAACATGACCATTACAGTGACCTGTAGAGGTTACAGTGCACCTTTAATTATAAAGCATGTCAATCAAAATTATAAAGCAGTACAATCAATACAAACCTGCCGCCCAGCATAACGCAGTGCTAGCTTCCCGCTCACTAGGGTTTGCACATCTTCAGGCCTGGAAAGGACAAATAAATAGACTGCCATTATGAAGGCTGAATGGGTCAACACAAAATACTTTCTTAACAAATGGGATGTCAATTAAACTAATAACTAGAATTAGACATTTTCGTACCACAGTCTCGTTTAAAAACAAAAACAAAAATGCAGCCGCAGGACTATAAAGGTGTCACCCCTGTTATCCCAAGCAATTGCACTTGCTATTAAAATTGTATGCAAACAGCACTTTGATTCATAGAATGCCCATAGTATGGAGTCAAAGCCCAAGTATTTGACCGGAAGGGGGAGTGCAAATACTGCACCCCAACAAAATATTGATATTCAGAGTTCGGGGAATGAAATGGAGTTTGTAATCTTATAAGCTAAGAAATAGCTAAACCCATCAACCCCAAATGCGCATAGGCCCATTGGAGCATGCTCATTTTATTACTATTTTCCACTAATATTTGACCTATTATCGTTTTGTTTTGTTTTTTCGTTTCAATGGGTTAAGTCTGGATTGCTGACAGCTTGTAAAGTTTGATATAAAAAATAAAAAAATGGTCTAGTGTTCTCACAAATAGAAGTTTCAACGTGACAAAGCTTCTTTCATGACTTGTACATGGAGAATGGAACAGTGGCTGCTTACGAAGAAACATGTAAACAGTCAGCAAGGTGGCAGCAAAACATTTGCGAGGATTTTATACTTACGTATTCAACATGATCTTACACAGCAGCATGTACTTCAAGGCTGTCATAGCTCTTGGGCTGTCTATGGAATCATACCCCTCAAAGGCCTCATAGAAATAGGAGTAAGCCGTTTTCCAGTCCTTCTCCTCTGCTGCGTGGATTATGCCTGGAGAAAATATGTGTAATCACAAGTTAAACTTTGATGATAAGTCATAAATCCCAAATATGACGATACATACATGTAATGCAGCCTATGTTTAGAAGCAGAAAATGGCTTCTATCAATACAAAGACACGAGCCTCGGACACACGGTCCACTTAAAAATATCTCAAAACTTTATCTATAAATGGAATTACAATTTTTAAGCCAAGGAAAATATTATGGTTACAAGTATTGCAAATGGTGGGGCTGAACCAAAATCCACAGGTCACCAAGCTCCTGTTCACAGCTCCATTTGTAGCAGTATTTTCTGTTGGACATTTATTTGCGGGAGACTTCTTTGGCTTCAAAGAAACTACCTTTCACAAAGTCCATATTTTGTTTTATTTGCACTCATATGAAGCACAAATCAAAAACAGCAGTTGGGCAATAGAGGTAATATTCTAAAAAGTGTATTCTAACGCTCATTTAAAAGTAATTCCAAAAGTTGAAAATCTTTCAATCTCCAAATAATGAACTCATGCATTTGTGTGAATGTGTGCGGTTGTATTTTTTCTATCATGCATAGGTATCAATAATAATAATATGGAATGTATGATGTCATGATAGAAGTGCTAACCTGACTGCATGTCCAGGGCAGCTTGCAACTTTGGCGGGCAATAAATGGCATTGGCCGTGGTACGGGCAGATGTCAGTGCAGCTCGAGCTTTGGGTAAGTTGCTAAGGGCATGGTAGGTCTTGCTCTCCAGTAGCTGAACTTCCACCAAAAGAGCTTTGTCATCCATCTTTTTTAGCTCACGGAGCAGTTGTGAACCTGCAAGAGACAGAGCAGATTTGTTTAAGTTTTGATTTATGTGGATTCAAAGGGTAAAAACAACGTAATAAAATGCAGTATCATGTTGTAATAAACTTTTTTTTTGGCTAACAAAATCCCTTGTATTTACCACATCCCAGGCGTGAATTAACAGGACACTAGTGTCACCAGAACAACTACAGCTTAATGTAGTTGTTCTGGTGAATATAATCACTGCCTTCAGGCATTTTCATGCAAACACTGCCTTTTCAGAGAAAAGACAGTGTTTACATTGCCCCTGGGTACACCTCCAAGTGACTACTCCTCAGATGGCCACTGGAGGTGCTTCCTGGCTCAGTTCTGCACAGTAAGCAGCACTGCCATTTAGAGTCTCTACGCTACGCAATGCATCTCTATAAGAAGGTGCTGATTGGCCAAAATGGCATTTGGCCCTGCCCCCGTGCCGATTTTAGCTAATCCAATGCTTTCCCTATGGGAAAGCATTGCATTGGCTAAAAATTAACAATTCTGGTGAAGTCACCAAGGGGGCGGGGCCAGCGCCGGTGGACCCGCGCAGGGCTGGAAATAAGGTTGTTTTTATTAACTTTTAAGGAGGGATAAGGAGGGGCGCAAGCCACCTAAATGGTGGGTAAACACTATAGGGTGAGGAATATATGTGTGTGTTCCTGACCCTATAGTGTTCCTTTAAAAAATAAATTCAAAAGTGTCACTCATTGTAAGCACTTTTTCTTTAAAAAATAACATTATTCAAATTTTTCCCCCCACTTATTTTATCATCATTCAGAAAAAATATCTAGGAAAAGAACAGTTTTAAACTTTATACAGTTTCCGTTATCTTGTAATCTGTCATTCAGGGTCTGAAATGTTAATATAAAAGAAAAAAAAAATCTATTTTTCTCGCATACAGTAGATGTGACAAAAATAGATTAAAAAAATGTAAATAAATAATGACCCTGAGGGCATTACTAGCAGTGCAGTTTACTATAACTGGCAACAAAATGTACAATACATTTCTGCATTTGTGCAGTAAATATTTATATTTCTAAAATATAAAGGCATTTAAAACTAGTACAGCAATCTTTTTCCCTGCCTGGAATACCAATAGTGAAATCGTACAGTCCATTCACTACTTCCCCATCCCTGACTGTCAAAATGGCATTAGCCAGTGTCCTACTTGAAAGCAGGGGAGAGCTTACATTTTAAATCAACCAGGGGTGATCCCCAGATGTTGTAGAACTACAGCATCCATGATGCTTTCTCATTTGAGTTGTAGTTCTATAATATCTGGGGATCTACCTATTGAGCACCCCTGACCTAGGCCCTGTGCTGTACAAATGGCATACAGACTCAAAACTGAACACATTATGATATTATCTATGCAGAAGGCTTGAAAGCCTGTTAGACAAGCTATTTTTTTGCTGTATCGCCAGGAGTGTAACCAATTACTAACAAAAAATAGCTCCCTGTAGTCTTTTTGCTATATATTCAGTTATAAACAATATATTGTACAGACACAATCAGCACAGTTTCAAATCTTGTAGGGGACCCAATCCACTCATTTTGGTACATCCGCCAAACAATAAGCTTTACTAACTGCTGTAAAAAAAAAATATACTCCGGAATTATATTTTTTCCTCCACATCTGGACTGTTACACCTTACACAAACAAGGTTTGATAAAAAAAATCAGAGCAGGAGGGAAATGATAAAGAATTCTGTGATCTAAAGTTCCTCCAGAGCTTTGAATTTAAGTTTCATTTCATTAGTAAGGAATTGAAAACACACCAATCATATAGCCTAACACTTTGTAAGCTACACCATTTTGCAGTTTACTAAATGAGTCAGCAGTGGTGACTAAGGAAGCAAATCTCTATGGAAATATTAGCTTTCAGAAGTACCACATCGACATTTAAAGGTATGAGACTGCCACCTGCAGGCAAACTCACCTAACTGCAATGCCTCCTGGTAACGTTTAGTATCAAAGTAAAGAGATACAAGCCGGGCCTGGAATAGAAAAGGAAGGGTGTAAATGTGAATAACAGAGAAACAAACAAAACAAAAAAAAACTGTTGCATTTAGGTACAAAAACTGTACAATAAACCACACTATACGTCCTCCCTGCCTCATTAAGAATACAAAGTCAATTTTGTGAACTGAATTGACTAGCTCAGAGCTGGGGTGGGCTAGCTATCCACTCACAGCTGATTAATGCACTCTAGGTTAGTTGAAATTGATACTAATTAAAAGTTATGGTTAATCTGATCTATCAATGAGGCTGGAATGTGGGAGATACTTGCAACTCTAGCAGTTTTCACATGTCAAATCAATATATATTGTATGCTCCAGGTGAATAGGACCATCAACACAGAGATCTGCGTATTTTGTGCACAAAAAAATCCCCAAAAAGTTAGTTTGTTTGTAGCTAGCAGATTGCATGAACATATTTAGGTTTTTTTTTTATTATCCAAAATTAGAGTGTTCTTATCCACTGTGCACCCAGATCTGTGTGCTAAACACATTTTGGTTCTTTCACAAAAATAAATCTTACTTCTAAAATACCATGTGTCGGTGAAACAATGTATTTCCTCCAGCACAAGAAACATAGCCACACACAGCTCTTTGAACGCCTGAAGTTTTTTCCTAAAATGGGACTACAACACCGTGGTAAACGAAAACAATATTGCAAAATTTGGGGGGGAGGGGGGAAATCGCTGCTTTGGAAAAGTTCTCAGATATTGTTGTTATCTTGGCTGCTTTCAGTTTACCTCAAACTGCTATTTAGCAAATATACTCTAAAGTTAAAAGTTATCTTATTATAGCTGAATAAAATTAACTATAGCGGAGTTGGTTAATTTTTCCATTTCTCCAACTTTTGTCTAAAATGTGTAGATTCCTTGTCTATGTACTGCAATTTGCAGCCTATTGCAATTTGCACAGTTTTTCGGGTGTGCAAAGAATCACAGTCAGCATGGAAAGTTCTAATCAAGCACACAGCTTCTGATAAACATTTATGTAAAAAGGCATCTTGTGACAAACAGACATTCACAGATTGGAACGGATATTTAACATATACTTTACCTCTAGTGCCTGGCGAAGGAAGGTCCGCTTCTCCGCCTTGGCCCATTCAATACATTCTAAGCACAGTTCCACCTAAAAGAGAGAGCTGCATGTTTCACACAATCTGGAATGTTTTAAGTACTATCTAAAGAAAATGCAACTCTCAAAGGTATAATATGTACCATACAGAAAGAGCACTTCTAGTAACCCGCAGTTATTCTTAGGTGTTGTTAAATTATCACCCTTAATGACATGGTTTCTGGCTCTCAAACTAGGCATATATAATTCATAAACATTTGAAGTGCCAAGGTGAGCAATCATTAAACCAGTCATTGCTAGTTGCTAAAATTTCGAAATTAATTGTGAAGTTCCTATTACAAAAATATGCCAATACTGTAATGGGTTGTAAAATAAAAGTGAGTATTTTAGAATAGTTTTAACGTATTATAGAGTTAAAACTTAAAAATAAATAACTTTAGTGATGAAGCAGCAGATAGCCCCCCCTCCAAGAGCATGAAGAGGTTCCATCAGTCAGAAGTGCCCAGTTCTGGTCTACAGGATATGTTTTTGTCCCGTAAAACACTAAAACACGTTTGCTCCCACTCTCATAACTCGAGTCATACACATACATTCATTCTAGATTGTAAGAGTGACACACGTACCTATGTCGTGTTTTATTTTTTGCCCTCTAATGATCACCTTCACTAGGGGTAAAGGAGGAAAGTAGTGGGAGGTTAGCTGTTTTGTTCCTGGAATCTAGTGGGATGTAGTAACAGAGGCAGCATTCCCTCACTCTTTTCCCCCAATCACTGTTCCTGTATAAACGGCATTCATATTGCCCAAAACATACAGGTGTTTTTATTAATCTTTTAGCGCTACAGCAGAGGCAAGCGACAGGGCGGCTCCTAGAGTATGTGGACAGTACCTCCAGCTGGTGCAGACCACAGTAATCGCTCCTGCTCCCACTGATGGGTCAGCGTACAGCAGTTATGACTCCTAGCACTCACGGAACACCGGTACAGTGAAAAAGCCATTATAGTGGTCTGCGCCAGCTTGAGGTGCACACCAAATGCACTCCCGCTAATTACGACCAGGTGCTTTAAAGGGACACTATAGTCACCACAACAACTACAGCTTAATGTAGTTCTGGTGAGTATAATCATTCCTCACAGAGAAGTGCTGAGTAGCCAAAATGGCGTTTGGCTCTGCCCCCATCCCGCCTCCTTGCCGATTTTAGCCAATCCAATGCTCTCCTTATAGAAAATCATTGGATTGGCTAAAAATTGTCAATTCTGAGGATGTCATTCAGGAGGCGGCGCTGGAAATAAGGTGAGTTTTAATTCCATTTAAAGGGACTGATGGGGAGCAAGCCACCTAAATGGTGGTTTTAACACTATAGGCTCAGGAATACATGTTTGTGTTCCTGACCCTATGGTGTTCCTTTAACTCCCAATGGATCACAGAGTGCCTCCACATTATATCCCTACAGCACATTACATAAAGGCGGAGTACATCACAAGGAGTATGTCACACACATTACAGACGGACAGCAAAAAAACACACAATACACACCACGCACATTACACAGAGCCAGCGCACACTAAGCGCATTACACATAGCCAGCAAATCTCACATACAACACATTGCACACAGCCAGCAAAGGTCACACATGTTGCACACAGCTGGCAAACGTCCGCCACATTGCACAGAAACAGCAGGCAAACATCTCTCACACACATAACACAAAGCCAGCGCACATTACCCACATCCAGCAAAGGCCACACACATTACATACAGCTATCAAACGTCACACAGACACACATTACCCACAGCCAGCAATCACACACTAGATTAGATTAGACACAGCCTGCGCACACCACACATATTACACACAGCCAGCAAACATCACACATACAGTACACAAAGCCAAACATCAAACACAGCCTACATAATAAACAAAGCCAGCATACATCCCATACAACATACTACACATAGCCGGCAAATGTTGCACACATTCGGCAAACGTGACAAAAATTACACCCAGACGGCAAACATCACACACTACACAAAGCCGGCAAACACACCATAATGCACACAGCCGGTGCAAACATTGCACACCACACACACACACACACACAAATTACAAGCAGACTACAGGAGGGACAGGGGGAGAGACTATGGGGTGGGAAAGAGCTCATCACTAAATTTAGAATTTTCACAAAACTGAGGAAATAACTGAGGCCAAATGTTGTGACTATTTTTCCAATTCAGTTTTGTCTCAGTTTTTCCCAGAGTTTTGTGAATAGCCATGTCAATGTTCACATTGACAAGTAGATTGTCATTACGGAGATTGTCTACTGCCTCTACTATTATATTGTGCAGAGAATGCTTGCTCCCCCCTAACACCACAAGACAGTGTAGCAAATCTTTCTCCTGTCCATCTTCACTGAACTCAGCAAGGGACAGGAATGGGTGAATGATTAAACAGGCAAGTTTGTGATAAGGGAGTGAGTCAAAATAAATCTTTTGATCTCTCAAATTTAAGTGAAAACACATTTTGGGCAAAGTCCAATTTTTGAATTTCTATAGAAAACTGGATTTGTTGAGCCGTGCCTTCAACTCTACTTGTCTCATGAGAGTGCCCTCTCTCAACTTCCCTCTTTGCATAAATATTATTTCTCCAGTTGTCCATACATGTCTATGTCGTGTTGAGCACAATTATAGTAATCACTTAAAGACCTTATATTACTATAAAAATTAGAATTTTGGACTGGCGACTAAGAAAAAAACCCCCATAGCAACGGTTACCGTCAAATGTGGAAAAGGTAGATATGGTATTCAAAAGTTTCCCCAGTTTATGCAAATGAACCATTTAGGAGGTAACTAACTAGGTCCATATTAACCGGTTTGCATCCATGAGCAATCTGATTTCTTTTAAAATATTTGCAATGTAATATCTTTTACTCACGAGGCATCAATAACCAAGCAGCAAACCTGGGTGTTTGTCAGCCCATTCAGCGGAGGTGGCTGGGGATGAATGGAGGTCGAGAGGGAGCTGTAAACTTTGTGCTCTTCTCCCTTATGCACTGTGCTGTGGGGAGCCGAATATGAGGTCACCCCAGGACCGGCCTTACTAACCAGTGAGTGAGGGAGAAAAGAAGGACGAGCTTGCAGATTACAACAGCCAAATTGGACCACAGGGAAAGGATCCACTCCAGCTCTACCAAAGGCTGGGTGAACTTAAATTAAAAAAATAAAAGTAAAAAATAATTTGTGAGTTTATGAGAAAATGTGTGATGTCTGTCAGTGAGTGGGTCTGTTTAGGTTTCTGAACGCATGGGAAAGCCATTTTTCTCACCTTTCCTCCCCCCCACGTTGTGCCAGTCTAGCTGTGGCAGGCCGTGCCTCCATGGCTAAGATTATCAGTCTTGATGACCTTAGCCAAGCCAATGCTTTCCCATAAGAAAGCATTGTGAGGCTACTGCACATGCACAGTAAATCACCGTGCTGCGCCAATCAGCATCTCCTCAAGGAGATGCACTGAATCAATGCATCTCTACGGGGAACTTCAGTGCCTCCAAGCAGTGTGTGGAGACACTGAACGCAGGTGCTGGACACTGTGCAGCACTGGACTAGGAATCATCTCGCGTGGCCGTCTAATGACTGTCACTAGAGGTGTTCCTAGGCAACAATGTAAACACTGTCTTTTCTCTGAACGGGGATAGGCTATAGACGCCATAACCACTACATTACGCTGTAGTGGTTCTGATGACTACAGTGTTCTTTTAAGAATTGTATTTTTATCATTGTGAATCAAGTTTTGCTAGTATACAAAAACCTGGCTGGTAACTATATATTTAAGCTGGCTCCTAGATTCCAAGAAAATTTGTCAAGCCCTGCTTTAGTAGACTAAACTTTACTAAACTAATACTTGCATGTAGTTATGGGCACAAGAAAAGGTCAAATACTTCCTAAAGTTTTTTGTTGCTTTATTACAGGTCAGGGAATTCATTTAATGTTTATCTTACTGGAACAGTACCTTTAAACCTTGCTAAAGACAAATGATGGTCTAGGACAAAATTTGTCAAAATTGTTAGAAAGAAAAACAAAACAAAACCACAGGTTTTATTGCATGTGAGTAATTTAAACAAAAAGCTGAGTTTTTAGTAAGTTAAAATACAATCTAAATAATTAGAAGAATTACTTGGCAATGTGAAGTATTCTATTGTTAGTCTTACCTCCTGGCCAGTTGCTGCTTCCATATCTAGGAACAAGTCCAAAAGGGATCGCACAAGCCTGGCTGCTTTTGCCTTGCTGATAGAATTAAGAAATGGGCGTACATATTTCAAGAGACCACCGAGTTCTGACAAAATAAATATATATATAAAAAAATTAGATTCATAACAGGAATATGAGTAACGTGACAAAGGATTGTGCAGAAGGCTGTAAGGTATACAAGTTGGGACACAAATGACATGGTCCCTTTCAAGGTCATTTGCTAAACTTAGAATTGTTGTGAACAGAACATGGATTATACATTTCCGGCTAAAAAAGAAAAGATGGAAAGAAATCTGAATTAGAAATTATAAATTTTTGTTGCTTAGTCAATACATTGTTAAACACAGAAATATTAAATTTGCAGTGATGTTACTACGGAAAGGGATTCTGGGTGGGAATATGCAAGTTATTTCAACAACCAAAAAAAAAAAAAAAAAATCACCTTTTTGCCTCATTATTCAATTTTAAACATGGATTCCATGTTTAAATGGAATAATGAGGCAAAAAGGTGATTTTTTTAACTAATTTGCATATGTCCACCCAGAATCCCTTGCAGTAGTAACTTCACTGCAAATTTAAGGTTTCTGTGGGAAAAGCAAGCCTTATTGCTAGACTGATGTGTGCAGATCTGTGTTTAACAATGTACTGACTATCCACTAACTTCTGGTGGAAGGGGATTTCAATCATTTTTTCTTCACCATAACTTTCTTGGTCTGTGGTCCATTTTTGCTTAGAACTTTTAATTTTCTTGTCACTTTATTACAATTTCAAGTATAGTGAATAATTATTACCAAGTTCAGAGTAGGTCTAAGCAACAAAACCTCTTAATCTTAATGCTTCTTAAGCAGTCGTGGTGCATAGCGCTGCCCCATGCAGTCTCACTGCTCAACTGTCTGATATTTAGGTTTAAGCTACTTTATTAATGAAGCCCTAGTCACATCTCCTGGCTATCAATTCTAGTCTCAATACACACTCACTCATAAAAGTGGTTTATCTTGAATCTGCAGAGTGTGTTTACTTTAGAAGTTATTATACCCTGCTGTTAATCGCTTGCTTGTATAAAGCAATCCCCTATATAAGGTACATATAAATAAAGAAAGAAAATAAAAACGTCACAGGAAGGAACAAGAATCCTTTAGACTTGTCTGCACTACAAGAGAAGCACATTTTGGGAGCTGTGGCAGAACAATGTGAGCATTCCATTTTACTCATAATCTGTAATATTTCTCAGCAGGAACTGAAAAATAAATGTTGATCAAAAAAGTGGCAGGTTTGCTTAAATAACTTATTGCAGCAGTACTACTTTAGAGACAAAAAAAAAAAGCAATTGTTTTTCCATTTTAACTTCCTTGTTCATGTGCATAAAAAATTGCAATTTTAGACTAGATTTTCCCTTTAATCCATTTGCCTGCAGAAGTTTAGCACAGAGAGAAAAATAGGGATTTTCTATCTCTGTCATAGACATGAGTTAGTTTTTACACTTCAAACACATCTGAATTATTTATAAATCCATTAATATCATTTATAGTCTAATCAGGTCATCCTCACATAGCTTTCATGTGTTACCAGCTCCCCCTATGGTAATGTTACTTTAGTACATAATAAAGAAGCATATAAAAAGTAGCATTACACATCACGGGTAAACTGTAGCTAAACATGAACAGCTGCACTGCCTCTAACAACACTTGCATGCTAGAAATCGTGCTAAGTCATTTGCTTCATATCGAGGTAGCGTGTCTGGGTATGCAGCTGCCGTGTCCATTCCCAGCAACCACTTTGCAGGAAAATGACAGAAGCTTTAGAAAAACTCAAATAGACTGTTGAACTGTCGCTGAAATTTGAATACAACACAATGAGAAACATGAATAGAATCTTGGCAATTAGTGGAACATCAACTACAAGATCCTGCCATTTGCCATCAGTCATTGCACACCATCACTGATGGGAACAGGCATCTTACTGCACATGTACAATATTATCTAAGAAGGATCCTCTGCCATCTTCCGTAAACCCCATATTTCCGTTTTTGTGCAGGCAAGTGAAAACATCAGTATCATGGGCTCTTAACAATTAAAGGAGTGTATCATGTCAAAACCGAGGACGGTGAGCATTAGGTAAATATATGTAAAGGGATCCTATAGGCACCAAAACAACTTTAGCTTATGAAACCGTTTTGATGTAAAGACCATGCCCCTGCAGGGTCACTACTCTATTCTCTGTCATTTAGGAGTTAAATCACTTTGTTTATGTTGCCCTAGTCACACCTCTTGCATAGTTTTCCTAAACACTTTCTGTAAAGAGTCATTTAATGTTTACACTATCTTTATAGCAAATTCTGTTTAATTTATAATTTCTCATCTCTTTACAGACCCTGCAAGAGCATCCTGTATGTAATTAAAGAACCACTATAGTGCCAGGAAAACAATCTTATTTTCCTGGCACTATCGTGTTAATAGGTCCCCCCCCACCCTCATGACCCCCCTTCCGCCGGGCTCTAGAGGGAGGAAGGGGTTAAAGGCTTACCTTTCTCCAGCGCTGGGCACCCTCCTCCCTCTTCACGCGAATGCGCATGCACGCGCGCAGTCAGTCAGTCCATAGGAAAGCTTTCTCAATGCTTTCCTATGGACGCTGGCGTCTTCTCACTTCTCACAGTGAGAAGCTTGGAAGCGCCTGTAAATGAGACAGCGACTAGAGGCTGGATTAACCCTAATGTAAACATAGCAGTTTCTCTGAAACTGCTATGTTTACAGCAGGCAGGGTTAACCCTAGATGGACCTGGCACCCAGACCACTTCATTGAGCTGAAGTGGTCTGGGTGCCTATAGTGGTCCTTTAAAGTTCAAGAGAGCAAGAGATAGAAAATTTTAAAAAAGTGTTAAAATTCAACTTTTTCTTTTTTCATGGAGACTGTGAGAGACACAGTCAGGGGAGGTGTGGCTAAGGCTACATAAACAGAAAAGTGATTTTACTTCTAAATGGTGAGACTGCAGGGGCATGATCTAAACACCAAAACTGCTTCATAAAGCTAAACTTGTTTTGGTGACTATAGTGTTCCTTTAATTTACTACTGTCAAGCAGACCATCGCCTAGAAGACAGGCATCTTACAGTGGGGGTTGCTTTGCCATTTGGTGCACTGTGTCAGCAATTTAGTTCATGCAAATTTCTATGTAGCACCTAACCGATCACAACCAGGGTAATTCACTAAAATGTGCATTTCAATTAATTTCGAACTAAAAGGCAAAGTGAATTTCAAATTCAAGGCCAAACTATCTGAAATGAAAGCTTAACTGATTTGAAGATTTTGTTCCGGTTTGTCAATTTTGGCCTGGGATATGAAATTAATTTTGAATTCCTGAAAATTCACATTTTAGTGAATAACCCTTCATATCATATTTGAAGTCCTTACGTACACACAGAAATAATCTGAGGGTCAATATCAAAATGTTTAACAATCACCATGGAAACAAACATGATAATCCTTTAAACTGCTCCTCCTTTAGCACTTTGCTCCACAATTGTGCTTTGCACACATGGCCTCAAAGAATCTTCAGATCACTCACCTGCAGCCTGTCCAGTCTTGGCAAGAAGCCCTCCCAACTCCAAAATGCTTTGCTCCTTAACACGCAAGGCTTCTTCATCGCTTTCCTGGATGTCTCGCTTCACTGGAAGGTAAAACAAACGTAGCGTTAAAGATGCTGCTTCTAAACAAACACCTATAACTGCTTTGCGCTCAAACTTGTTGCGGGATGAAGACATTTTTATCAAAACAACTGGGTAAACTCTGAGATGTTTAAAGAAAGATCATACCATGCAACAAGTTCACGTACAGCTTAATGGCTACAAGTTAGAAACGGATTTACAGAAAACACAGAACATTATAAAATATCCCATTAATGAACAACATAAATTCACATCTAATAAAAATATCCACACAAATATTTTGCTTTATAGTCCTGATTGTGTGAAAACATACATACATATACACACATATATACATACACATATTTCCTCATAGTCCTTCTGATTGTGAATATATATATATAAATAAAACAAAATGATAGCTTGGCACTCTCCTTACCAGTACTTGGTACCCAACTGCCTGAGTTTCAATCCTCTTGCGTCCAAAATTATATGTATCAGAAATCCAGGATGCCCACTCAGGGCTTTTTAAAATCGTATAATGTGTCAATCTTGAAAAAGACCCTACAGGGTCGAAACGTAGATTTTCTTTTGCTGTATGTTCACTTAATTTCAATAAATCACATTATACTATTTTGAAAGCCCTGAGTGTGCATCCTGGATTTCTGATACACACACACATATATATATATATATATATATATATATATATATATACACATACACACACACACATATTTGCCAATAGTCCTTCTGATTGTGAATATATACATACACACACACACAAATACATATATATATACACACCCACATTTGTTTATAGTCCTTCTGATTATGTGTTACCTGTTATTAAATAATATCGAGTTTTTTTTCTACAAAGACCTGAGAGTGCATCTCTTTCCTTTTTGCTTTATATATATATATATATATATCTATCCACACACATTTGCTAATAGTCCTTCTGACTGTGTGTGGATAGATATCTATATATCCACACACCACATTGCAGTACACCTGCCCCTCTTTGTATGGCACAATTACTGAGCAAATCGTGGAGGATTAGTTTCTTTGCCCCCCTCCTGCCCCCTCTCTCCCAGCCTGGCCCCCCCCCTTCCCAGACAGCACATTTTCATTGTTTGAGTCTCTAGGCTGCTGCCCCCCCCCCAGCTTTCTCCCCCACCCGAGACAGAGCAGCCTCATGCAGGCTCCCTTCACCTATAGACTGCAGGATATCTATGCTCGCCGCCTTGTCCGTCACCACCATTTCTTGCGCTCTCTGGAACTCGATCACAGCAGCGGTCGCCATCTTTCCCTATCCCTGCACCCTGACACAGCTCTTCCGGACCGGAAGGAACCGCGACGGAAGTCGCTATCACTCTCAAGGAAAAGACTTCCGGGTGATGCCGCAAGGGGCTCCGGGAAATGTAGTCCTAAGAGACAACAAAGCCACAGAAAGCAGTGCTGGAGTAGCTGAGCTATTGGCCAAGTCATTTGTACCATAAACAAACCAGGCTTTATTCTGTATTTAACTAAAAGTGAGAATTATCACTGAATTTAGGGTGAATTTCACATTTATGCCAAAAATTGCCAAAAATTGCCAAAACTGGGGGGGGGGCAAGATAATATGCTTCCTCTTTGTCTTCTTTTGTATTATATTTGAATTCTCATGAAAGCCCATAATGTCAGAGCCAACTGTACACGTTTTGATCAAAACAAAACCTGGAATTTGCGCTTTATGTCTGTTGAACCATAATTTACATTGTTCATATTAAAGGATCACTATGGTGTCAAGAAAACAAACTTGTTTTCCTGGCACTATATAGTCCTTAGGTCCCCCACCCTCAGGGCCCTCCTCCCGCTGGGCTGAAGGGGTGAAAACCCCTTCAGCCACTCATCTTTATCCAGCGCTGGGCTCCCTCGGCGCTTGTGACCCCTCCTCCCCCTCAGACGTCAGCTCCCGAGTGGAGCAGCCCGGAAAAGCGCAAGCACCAGCTTCGAGTCATCGAGATGCAACAAACGGTGTCTTCTCCTGGAGGAAGCCCAAATCCTCAGCCAGAAATCCAGAGGTTACCCTTTACAGCATTTAAAGCTTTCTAGGAATCAGAAGGGGAAATCGACGGGAACCTGGCCGACTTCGAACGTCAGTGTGCCCTACACAAGGTGGCTGAGACCAAATGGGTCCCAGTGCTGGCTGGCAATCTATCCGGCAAAGCTGCGGAAGCCATCTGGGCAATCCCCGACGCCGAGCTGAATAACTATAAGAGAGTGAAAGAAGCCCTACTTGCTTGGTATGCAGTTACACTGGAGGCATACCGTCGGAAATTCCGCGATTACGCAAGACTGATAAAGATTTGTATACCGAATGGGCCTGACACATGCACTGCGCTGCTTCTCACTTGATTAATGGGTGCCAGGCTACTTCTCTGGAGGATTTGCTGCAGCTGATACTCCTGGAACAATTTTTTAGTTTGGTTCATCCTGAAATCAGAGACTGGGTAAGAGACCAGCGGCCCCTTTCCCTACCTGAAGCAGCTCGGCTAGCCGATGAATACACGGATGCCTGTAAGCTAGACTGACCCCCCCCCTCAACCCCAACCACCCCGAAAAGAGCACCCTCAACCTTCTCCAGTGGGAGCTCCTTGTCCAACACCTCGGGCTGTTCCAGAGCCATATGTTCCACAACCAAAGACTGGACCCTGATGCTACCGCTGCAAACAAGTGGGACATGTAAGCAGCAAGGGCAAGGGTATACTTCATGAAGTGGATCACATCCAAGCAGCGACCACTGATAATCGGCAGCATCACAGACAATTTGTCCTGGTAAATGGCCGGACCACCCGAGGACTGAGATACACTGGGGTCATGCTCACACTGGTCCAATGACATTTGATTGGTGACTCTGAAAGACCAGGGAAGTCGGTTGCCGTTCGATAGGCCGGCAGTGCTATCTACCCCATTCCCACTGCCACACCCATACTGGAGTGCAGGAGCCAGCACTGTAAATGTGGGAGTGATGAGAGAGTTGCCCACAGAGGTCTTCCTGGGGAATGATTTAGGACCTCTAACCTCCGCATTTGAGTCACCCAACACTGCAGAAGCACATGCTGTGACTACCCGAGCCAACGAAGCCAACTCACATCCCGCCGAGGCACAGGTAAGATCACCTACCCCGACCTTCACAGTAGCAGTAGAACCCCTAATTTGGGAGAGCCCCGCAGATTTTGGGAGGGAAGTAGTAGAAGACCTATCACTCCAGAAATATAGGGACCATGCTACGACCGATCAGGGAGGGTTAAGTGGAGAACAGTTCTTACGAGACCAGGTGACCAAGTCCAGGATGAGAGGAGCGGGGCCCATTCAGAAGTGCTAGCTGGTAGTCTCATGGAAATACTGGTTGGAGCTTCTGTAAGTAGGGCACGATGTCCCACTAGCAGGGCACCTGGGCATATGCCGGACATCTCACCAGGTAACTCAGAACTTTCTCTGGCCTTGGATAGTCAGAGATGTCTGAAAGTACTGCTAGACCTGTGATGTTGGCAAGAGCGGAGACCACCCGAAGGCAAGATTAGTATAGATGTTCAGCAGAGTAGCCGTCTACATTGTATGAATGCTAGTCCAGCCTAGTTGCTCCAGTAAGAAGTATATCCTTCCCGTAGTAGACTACACTACTCAATACCCTGAAGCGGTGGTGCTAACAAATATCCAGGCAGAGACAGTAGCTGATGCCCTGGAACGAATATGCTCCTGAGTGGTAGAATATGCTCCTGAGATCCTTTCAGACCAGGGTACCCAGTTTACCGCCGATGTTACCCACCAACTTTGGTATGTCTGTGGTATAAAACCCATAATGAGTTCCCCATATCAACCCCCAGATGAACTGTCTCTGAGAGTGGTTTAACGGGACCCTGAAACAGATGCTTAGAAGCTTTACAGCTGCCTGCAGAGACTGGGAACAATTCCTGCCTTACCTCCTGTTTGCTTATCGGGAGATACCACAGGAATCTACTGGGTTCTCCCCATTCAAGCTACTATATGGTAGGCGGATGAGGGGACCTTTAGACCTCATCCGCGGAACACTGGGAGGGGGAAACTGAGATAGCAGGGACCCCGATCATACCCTACGTACTAGAGCTGGAGGAGTGCATGGAGTCACTGGCTCAGATGGCACGTGAAAACCTCCAGGCGGCCAGTCAGGGATGTATTTACCACAAGGCAGACAAGGCAAAAAATGCCACCCCAGGCTCCCAGACAAATGACTTGTTTGCCTCGTGTTCTGGGGCTGTCCACTTTACTGTGAGTGAGTGAGTGTAGCTGTCAGTGTGTGTCTGAGAGTGAGAATGGGTGTGCTTGTGAGTGTGTGTCAGTGTGTCTATGTCATTTTGTGTGTATCTGAGAGTGTGTGCCTGTCAGTGAGTGGGTGTGTCAGTGTGTGTCTGTCAGTGAAAGTGTGTGCCAATGGCTGTATATGTGTGCCAATGACTATGTATCTGTCAGTGAGTGCATGTATCAATGAGGGCATGTGTCTGTCAGTCCAAAAAATGGCCTTGACACAAACTGGGGGGGGGCAAATTTAGATTTTGGGTGTGCCCGAATTTAGTCGTGCCTAGGGCAGCACAAATCCAAAATACACCACTGGTGCCAGTGGGTATGGTACGACCAGGGGGCCAGGCATCACAGCTTCCAGGTTGGACAGATAGCTATGGACCTGAAACCGGTCCGGCATGACAAGCTGCAGGCTGCCTGGCAGGGACCCTATAAGGTGGTGGAGCAGGTCTGCGATACCACCTATGTAGTAGCTAGCTGTTAGAATGAGCAGGTGAAAAGTACTTTCCACATTAACATGCTTAAAGAGTATAAGGGCAGAGAGGGAAGAGGCCCCTTGAGCTCCTTGAAGCAAAATAGGCGGCGTTCTCCCAAGAACACGTTTATACTACATTAGAATGTACAACAGGAGTAATAGGTGCTTACTATAGCGTAGTAAAGAAATAACCAGTGCAGGCTGCAGTACAGTACAAGGATTCTTAGACCTCGTGAGTGAACAAATAACAAAAAGAATAGCGTATACCGTGCCCAATTTAAGTATATAAAAATTATACGTACATAAATCCTCAGACCATCTAGGCGCTGTATACACTATTCTTTTTGTTATACTACATTAGCTCTCCACAGAGTTGATACCTAGGGACAGGTACCCCTACGTCAACCCCCATACCGCATTCCCGAGGCAGTCCGGGAAGGAATGTGGAAAGAGATTAATGAAATGCTCCACTTAGGAGTCATAGGAGCCTACGAAAGCCCTTGGGCCTTACCGGTAGTCTTAGTACTGAAGCGGGACGGCACGACAAGCTTCTTTGTAGATTACCAGCGACTGTACAATAAAACAGTCACTGATGCCTACCATATGCCCTTGGTAGAGGGCTAGAACTCTAGAACTCATAGGTAGGGAGCGCTACCTGACCACCATTGACCTCTATAAGAGGTATTGACAAATTCCCCTAGCCGAGGAGGCTATTCTCAAATCAGCCTTTGTCAACCTGTTCGGCCTATACCAGTTTCGGGTTATGCAGTTCGGGATGAAGAATTTCCCCCGCTACCCTCCAATGGATGGTAGACTCAATGCCTGTGCATACCTGGACAACATTACACTACAGTGATACCTGGGAGGCTCATCTGGAACATAAAAAGGATAGAAAGGTTAGCGCTAATAATAAAAAATATAGGATAAAAGGCAGCGGCCTTATAGGGGGTCACCCTCTGACCCTCTACAGTAAGGATATATACAAGAGCAAAGAACAAGGCTGCGCCAAAGTGGTTAAAACTAGTCCAAATAAAATAATGGAATGTTGAATAAAAATGTACTCAAATAAAAGAAGTCCCAATAGTAGATGGTGTCTTTAACTGATATGATGTCTTCCTTTTTATGGTGGTAGTCGTCCGTCTCACGATATGAAAGACACAATGAGAGAGAGCCAATAGTGCAGAGTGTATAAATAAGTGGATAAAATTAAAATATAAATTACACACTCACATTTCCATGAGCTAGGACTAGCTCTAGTATGGTGGGCATACGGCGGATAACCCTCCGCTTATAGGGGTGCTTGTCCTCCTGGAGAGTCCTGGTGTCCAATTCTCAGGGAAAGAAAATAAAAACAGCCAATAGTGCTCTCTGATGAGGTAGTTGGTAAAAGGAATAAAAATAAATAAAATATACTCACAAGTAGAGTGCAAGTCAATCTGCACTCTGTTTTTCGCTTGGGTGGTATAATCCCCACCTTAGGATATGCCAGGAACAGTAAATGAAGTTAGAAGTAATAATAAATGTAAAATTTTAATATATTGTACTAATATCATCAGAGAGCACTATTGGCTGTTTTTA